AAGGGCCTTGTAAAGGAATCTTAGACTTGAGGCGCTTTAGGTTCGTGCTAGGGGTTCTTAGGGTTTTGGGTTTAGGGGCTTTGCTGGGGCCTTTTTTGAGCTTGAGGGTTGTGGCTTCAGTCCATTTGGGGCTTTTAGGGTTTAGGATTGAGGTCTTGCAGGTTCATGTAGTATGTTGCCCTAAACGAAAACCCTAAACCCTAAACCCTAAACCCTAAACCCTAGACCCTAGACCCTAGACCCTAAACCCCAAACCCGAAACCCTAAACCCTAAACCCTACCTCCGAGGATTGTATATTCCTGTCTCTCCAGAAACCTGAGACTCGAAGGGTGTTGCGGCACATTGTGTACCTTCCGGGAACAGGACACCTAAATAAGGGAGACGAGCACTGCTGGGTATCCGAGAATGTTAGCCCGGAAATGTCCCAAATAAACGCACCTAAAGCCTCAATTTCCTGAATCCGAAGCCCTTATAAAACCCCAAAAACCTCTAAACTCTCCCTAAACCCTAAGCACTAAAACCTCAAACTCCTAAATCCCAAAGTCCCTGCTCGACACCCTGCAATAGCGAACTCACGGTTCGTGCGGGAAGAACTTGGGGGGGGGGGGGGGGGGGGGGTGGGTGGTAATGGATGAAAACCCAAAAAACCTCAACCCCCAAGGGTTTGGGTTTTTGAGGTTTAGGGTTAGGGTGTTTGGGGTTTAGGGCTTAGAGTCTAGGAGCCATTTCCTATACTGAACTTGGAACCCTAGCAAAAATTATTTTTTGCTGTTTCTTAGGAATTATGGTGCCCAAAAACTAAAAACCATTTCCAAGTACCCCTAAGTTTCAGGTTGGTCTCTCTTGTCACCGGCCCAACCAGTGGGAGCCTGTTGACACCACGGTCGTGTGGCTCCCAGCAGCACTTTCACCTCATGTGCTGTTCGAGTCCATTCTCGAGGGTTTAGGGTTCAGGGTTCAGGGTTTAGCGTTTAGGGTTTAGGGTTCGGTGGAACCCACCCAGAAACCACATTATAATCAGGGCACCCTTTTTGGGGTTGGTTACTGTACAAGGGGACCTTGAACCAACATAAAGGGAAAAGGGTACGAACAAAATTATTCTTTGTGGACCTTGGATTCGTCACCACGGGCATACCAAGTCAACCCTTAACCCTGAAAACCCCAAACCCTAAAACCCTAAAACCAAACCCCTGAAACCCTAACCCCTGGCACCCTAACCCTAAAACCCTAATTCCCTAAAACCCTAGATCCCTAAACCCCAAAAAATCGACGAGAGTCTGGTAGTGCTATCTGTGAGGCCCTCGAAGCAGCGAATCAGGCCCTTAAAGCCCGAAAAATCGAATCCCTAAAGCCTAAAACCCTAAACCGTAAACTGCGAAACCCTGACCCCCTAAACCTTGCTCCCACCGGCAAACATTGCAACAAAAACGTGAAGTTGTGAATGAACCGTCAGACAAGAAGACTACCAATGCCTAGATCCATACAATTGAAATTTGCAGAGTCATGTCGAAAACCGCTGAGAAAACCAAGTTTTCTGAACGTAAATCCTTGAGCGTCGTTCCTCGCAGTTATCTCCAAATCCCGCATGGAATTGAGAGCTTCATGGGAAGGAACACCCTAAAACTGTAAACCCCCAAACCCTAAACCCTAAATCCTAAACCCTAAACCCTAAACCCTAAACCCTAAACCCCAGGAAATCGGTTCAGGGGCGAAGATGCCGGACTGGGGTCTGGACCGTCGCCGCGCTTGTGGAGTGACTGAGGTCGTGTGCAGCTGGGTTTTGGGGTTTAGCGCTAGGGTTTAGGGTTTCGGGTTTAGGGTTTATAACTTAGGGTTTAGGCCTTGGGGTTTAGGGGGTTTAGGATAGGGTTGACCATTCAGAGGGGTTCTAGGCTCCATGTACTCAGAATAGCAGCCAAAAGCCCTGAAAAAACGAGCGGGCAGGGATGAAAGGACCAGGATTTCTTGAGTGGAGCTGTTCCTTGCAGGTGGGCCGATTTTGGAGCTTGCTCGAGACTTGGGGGTTTCAAGAGCCACCCTAAACCCTAAACCCTAAACCCTAAACTCGAAACCCGTTGTTTAGACAATGAACAAGGTTGGGGCTAGTCACAATAACTGCTTAACCAACAGTTCTCTGATCCTCCAAGACAACCACGACCGTTTAGAGATTCGGGGTTACGGCTTTACACTTTACAAGGCTTATGCCTTGGGCTCTAGGGGTTTAGGGTTCTGGTTTGGGGTTTGGGGTTTCGGGCTCAGAGGTTGCGATTTCGGCTCCAGGGTTTGGGGGGGTCAGGGATTTCGGGGGGTGGGGGGGGGGGGGAACTAGGGGGCTTCCAGAGCCCTCTCAGCTAGAAAGCAACTTAGAGTTGAGGGTGTAGGGCTTCTAGGGTAATCAGATAAAAAGTAACAGAGTTGTGGAAATGTAGGGGGTTTTGGGCTTAAAGCCAGGGGTAGCCTGAAACTGGAAAGCCGAACCCCAAATAAAAACATGAATGCGCCAGCTTCCCAAAGGCAGATCCCCTGGGCCACAGTAGGGAATGGGGGAATGAGGTACCCTACATAATCCCGCAATGGGTCAATATAGGGGGATATAGGGTACCTCATCCCCTCGTTCCCTACTAAGAACCAGCCAGCAGAACATCTGGGTGGCGAACGAAGCCCAAGTCGTCCGACAAGCTCAGGTAGTGCGACCCATGTATGTTGTGCCGCCCTCCAGGTCAGGATGATTGGTGTTGTGTTGAGGGTCCAAGGTAGGGTAATGGTTTGTGTAGTGTTCGGGTTTATAAATTATAAAAGTGCCGAGGACTTCCTGAGTAGAACAACGGAAATGGGTTTTACGTAGGGCTATTAGCAAGGTAGCCTATGTGAGAACCTTCATGAAGGAGCTTACAACCCTGCGTATAACTATCCATGAACCTTCAAGTACGGCCTACCACTTGACGAGAGTTTGGGTGATGTTTGGATTTTGGGACCCTAACCCAGGAACCCTAAACTCTAAACCCTAAACCCTAAACCCTAAACCGGGTGGGTGGGGGCGGGGGGAGGACTCTAGGAACTGCTGCCAGCCGGAGAGAAAAAAACAAACAAACAACCTCTGCGTCGTGCTTCGAAGAACTCAGGCTTTGGGGATTCGAGTTTAGGGTTGGAGGTGTAGGGCTTAAGGTCTAAGGTTCAGGTACCTCAAACCATAGGAAGTCGCTCGGATCCTGATTGAAAGAAGGAGTACTTAGAGGATGATCTGAACCCCCCTCATACAATCCTTAGGCTCCCCTAAACATCGATTCACCATAAACCCTAAACCCTAAACCCTAAACCACTGAACCCTAAACCCGAAAACTTAAACCCTAAGCCCTAAACTCTAACCGCCAAACAAACAGCTTTGGGGTTCGGACGTCAAGGGAAGCCCCGGGTCGTTTTCTGCACCCGCTCTGTCGCAGCTCATGCTGCCGGCGCCACCGTGTTCCGGATCCTGGAAGTACGTGGCCGAACTTTAGAGTTTAGGGTTTATAGGGTTTGGGGTTTAGGGTCTAGGGTCTAGGGTCTTGGGTCTAGGGCTTAGGGCCTAGGGTTTAGGGTTTAGGGTCTGGCTTTCAAACGTGTTCTGAAGGGTTTTGAGGGTCTTAAAGGACTTCGGGCTTGCAAGGGCTTGGGTTTTATTGAGGTTTCAAGGGGGTTTCAAGGGGTTTGAAGGTTTAGGGCTTTAAGGGGCTAGGGGCGAAGTGGAGTTGAAGTTAATGGGGTTGGAGTGAGGTGCATGCGGAAAGCAGCGGCTAGGCTGCAAACCCTAAACCCTAAACCTAAACCCTAACCCCTAAACCCTAAACCCGAACCCCCAAACCCTAAACCCTAACCCCTAAACACTAAACACCAGATTTAGATTTGAAGCATGTCACGGGGGCGTCACGTGACAACCATGGTGTTTCGGGGCATGGCGGACTGGAAACCACACACACACACCCACACACCCACCCACCCACCTGCCCACCCACCCACCCACCCACCCACCCACCTACCCACCTACCCACCTACCCACCTACCCACACACACATACACTGTTGCCACTGCCCTGAGGCCCCCTAAACCCGAAACCCTAATCCCCATAACTAACCCCGTAAACCCTAAACCCTAAACTTAACCCCTATAAACCCTAATCCGTGAACCCTAAACCTTAAACTTAAACCCTGTATAAACCCTATACCCTGTAAACCCTAAACCCTATAAACCCTAAACCCCAAAGCCACATCCTTCATCCCTTGACCCCGATTGGCGGCCATGCTGCTCCCCAGGTCACAATCGCGCCATCGCTGCGCACTGCAGCAAAAGCCCGATGGGATGGGCAGATCTGCCTAGTTAGGGTTTAGGGTTTAGGGTTTAGGGTTTAGGGTTTAGGGTTTAGGGTTTAGGGTTTAGGGTTTAGGGTTTAGGGTTTAGGGTTTAGGGTTTAGGGTTTAGGGATTTAGGGGGTTTAGTAGGGGTTTTGGGGGGTTTAGGGTTGAGGGTTTCGGGTTGAGGGATCTTTAGGGTTTTAAACCCTTTTAAGGTTTGAACCCTGAGCCGTATAGGGTCCTTACTAGGGATTATAGTAACCCGTACCATATTCCATATTAAGGGCTGTTAGTATAAGGGAGAACATCCCAACCTTGTTGTGTTGAAAGGGCTACTTGTACAGGGACTTGGAATATAGCTAAGCTACACGTTGAGTTTTCGCACAGGAATCAGGAAAGGACCCGTAAGGCATCGGGATCAGCTATTCATGCTGAGTTTAAAGTTTGCTTGAAACTCAACCTGTTTACCTACATGTTTATCTAAGGCATGCGGGCATCAGCGTCAACTGGGGGTCCCCGGCAGGGTCTTGCAGACTCTGCAGTTGAGTAGGAATTACCTCTGTTTTGGCAGGTGAAGAACATCCCAACCTAAACCTTTCAAATACAATCCGACAAATCCGTAAGTCGCAAAAGGCCCTTTCAAACACTAAACCCGGAGACGACTGTGCCCTTTAAAGTCTGGTGGAGCTGAGATTCTGCACGGAGTAGAGCTGGCTGCGCACGCTGCTGCAGTCTCCTTCAGCTAACACCGCAGACATAGCACATTGCCGATCTTGTAGAACTCCGAAAAACCCTTAATACCCTCACACACGCAACTCCTGGCATTGAGACTTTAACTAGAACAGCATGGGGCGCGCCACAATAGTACAGTCAAATCACATCGGTTTAAGTTTAAGGTTTATATGTTTCGGGCCTAGGGCTTAGGGGTTCAAACTGAGGCCTCGACTAACAGTGATGCTTGAGTCACCTTGTGATCCCACAAACTTCGGGACTAAAGCGGGGGCCATTACATGTTTTTTGTTGTTATGTACACACGTATATAACCCTGTAGGGTTTGCATAGCGGCTATGGCGGGACTACTTCGGCATATACGGTAATTATATACAAGCGTGGTGATTGGCTTACCACAACCTCCCCCTATGCGGTTTCACAAACCTCTCAGCCCTAAACCCCTACAGCCCCACAGCCCCTAACCCTAAAAGCCCTAAACCCTCAACCCTTATTCAAGCCCTAAAACCCCAAAAGCCCCAAAACCCAAGCCTGAACCCCAAACCTTGGGATGTTCCCCCTTATACTATCAGTCCGGAATCGGGATCGCAATAGGGGGTACTATAACCCCTTTTAAGGACCCTAAACCCTCCTCCTGCCGCCTGCGCCCCCCAGGAGACCACCGTGCCATCTGCTTTCAGCGCCGCGAAAGCATGCCTAGGACTGCCCTAAAACCTGAACCCTAAACCCTAAACCCTAAACCCGAAACTCTAAACCCTAAACCCTAAACCCTAAACCCTAAACCCTAAACCCTAAACCCTAAACCCTATAAACCCTGAACCCTGAACCCTAAACCCTAGACCCTAAGCAGCGTTAGGGCTTTCAGGGCTCTAGGACCGTGGGAGCTTCGGGATTCTGCTACTTACAAAACCTAAAACTGCCCATGACCAACTAAGGGTTCAAGGTTTGCAGATTAGGGGATTAGGGTTTAGGGTTTAGGGTTTAGGGTTTAGGGTTTAATTAGGCTTTAGGCGATTAAGGTTTAGGGCTTAGGGATGTAAGGGAGGCTTGGGGTGTAGATTTCCCACCCCCCCCCAATTAAGGCGCTCTGTTTCGGACGCTGCCTCGCAAGCATCCAGCCACACCTCCCCTGTCGTTGACAAGCCGAACGATGACCCTACGACGCAATGCCAAGCACTGCTGCTACGGGACTTCTGCACTCGACCGTGCCTGTTGCACTGCCACACTGTCACCACCGCTATATTTTGAACCCCAAGTCACCACAGAGCCATCAGCAAGAACGGCAGCAAATGCAGCATTTGCAGACTGGATGTGTTGTACACCTTTCAACTTCTGGGTGGTGCTGCATTCGCCATCTGACTCCCAGGCCCAAGCCACAACAGTGCACAAAGGAAGCTTGGATTTGTTGTACATCGCGCAGTTGTCCTTGGACAGAACTACTGTCCCCACCATGCCGAGGACTACCCCACGTCACCACCGAGCCGTCAGCAAGAATTGCTGCAAAGGCGGAGTTGGACGCCTGGATTCCTTGTACCTTCTTCAACTGTTCTTGGACAGCACTGCTGTCGCCACCATACTGAGGATCGCCCCAAGTCACCACCGAGCCGTCGGCGAGTATGGCAGCAAAGGCAGATTCGGACGACTGGATTTGTCGTACATTCTTCAGCTGTGCCTGGACAGCACCGCTGTCACCGCCCGTGGTGTGATTTCCCCAGGTCACCACACAACCGTCAGCCCGAATAGCAGCAAACGCGCTTCCGGAGGACTGGATTTCACGAACGTCCCTAAGCTGTTCTTGCACACCACTGCTGTCGCCACCACAGGCAATGTCGCCCCAAGTCACCACCGAGCTGTCAGCAAGAATCGCTGCAAAGGCAGAGTGGGACGATTGTATCCACTGTACATTCCTCAACTGTCCTTGGACAGCACTGCTGTCGCCACCATACCAAGGATCACCCCAGGTCACCACCGAGCCATCAGCAAGAATTGCAGCAAAAGCATATTCGGAAGACTGAATGTGAGCTACATTGCTCAACTGTCCTTGGACCTGGCTGCTGTCACCACCAGATATACCAGTGCCCCATGTCACCACAGAGCCATCAGACCGAATGGCAGCAAACGCGTCGGTGCACGACTGAATTCGTTGTACATCTCTCAGTTGCTCTTGAACTCCTGTGCTGTCACCACTGCAGAAAAATTCCTGGCCATTGGCGCCATCACCGGCACCCCAGGTCACTACAGAGCCATCAGCAAGAATGGCGGCAAATGCGTGGCCAGAATGCTGGATGTCTCGAACGTTCTTCAACTGCTCCTGCACTTTGCTGCTGTCCATGTCACGCCCACGGATCTCACGACCCCAAGTGACGACGCTCAAGTCGCCCCGAATAGCAGCAAATGCTGCGAAGGGGTAGATGTGCCTGCAGGCAACTATTTTGGTTGGTGCCCTCCACAGGGTGAGGTTTTGGCCCGTGCGCAAGCCAGCCGCTTCCAAGGTATCGGATCCGAACAAGACGTTTCCGTCAGTGCCCAGCAGGCAATATCGACCTTGCTCTTGCAAGGCCGCCTGCGCATGCTGCCGCAGCACATCCAGGGAGATCGAAGGATCCACTTCGATGGTCGCACTCTTCCCACTAAGCAGCGAGACCTCGAACCGGAAGCATGCGGGCATCGAAGACCAGCGAAGTGCTGAGGGACGCCTCCCGGAAAGGATGTGGACGTCAGCGGCGAAGGCTCTACCAAAATGGAAGCTAAGCAAGACTCGATCGTGGCAGGGGCATACGCTGCTCAAAACCCTAAACGTTCCTAATCCCTGAACCTCCGTAAACCCTTTAACATCCATTAAGACCCTACACCTACCAAGCCCTAAACCCTAAACCCTAAACCCTAAACCCTAAACCCTAAACCCTCAACCTTAAACCCTCAACCCTAAACGCAGCCCTGCGACTGCTGGTGAATGGTCTTGGGAGGTTTCTGGGTGCTAAAGTTTCTACAATCAGACTCTGGAGCCCGAAATCTCCCAAAACCTCTTAGGGTTTGGGGTTTAGGGTTTAGGGTTTCGGGTTTAGGGTTCAGGGACCTTACGGCAACCGTCTGGCCGGAACGCTCAGAATTATTCGACTGCGACGCGAAGCTTCCAGCGGAACCTTGCCTTTCTCCCGTCATTGTTGGTAGGCTTTTGCATGGTGCTTGAGAGGCGCCCCTAAACCCTAAACCCTAAACCCTAAACCCTCAACCCCTCTAAAGACCAAAGCTGTGAAGCCTCAAACCCTAAACCCTAATCAAAAGGGCCGGCGACGGTGTCTGACCTCTCTCTCTCTCTCTCTCTGTGTCTCTCTCTGCCGAGAGGCCCGTTGGCAACAAGCTCCTGCAATCTTGAGGAATCTTAGGGCTGAGGCCTAGGGTTTAGGGTTAAGGGTTGTTTAGGCCAAACTTACACTGAAGGGGTGTTTGGGGTAGTTCGGATCCTGCCTGTCCTCTCGTGAAGCACAGGAAGCTGCATTAACTATTAGGCATGTATGTATGTACATAGCAAACAAACAAACAAACAAACATACATACATACATACATACATACATACATACATACATATGTATATATATATATATGTATATATATATATGTATATACATGGATGGATAGTTCGCCTTTTTGCCAAGAAAGGGACCCTAATTTACAACAAAACTATCCAAAAAAAAATATATATATATAGATAGATAGAGAAATAACCTGGACATGTAATTAGGAGAATTAGGAGGTTTGTGGGCCCTGGCTTTGGGTTTTTAGCGTCTAGGGTTGAGTTGTGAATGAAGGAGCCGCCGCCCGCGAGTGAGGAGCTGTCTCTGGCAAAATGCTGGGCTCTCAACCGTTCAGGGCTGAAACGCTTTCAGTTTAGGAGTTTAGGGTTTAGCAGGGCATAGGGTGTAAGGCTTATTAGGGTCTATAAGCCCTCACCCCTGAACCCTGACGCCAACTCCCCGGACGCTTTTGTGGCATCATCCCAAGCCTCAGAGCTCTGACCTCGTTTGGGCCTACCCAGAGACTCCAAAAACCCTTAATTAAGGAATATACCTTAAGTTATAGCAGGAACCCTAATATGATTTAAGGTATATTCCTTAATTAAGGGGTTTTGGAGTCTCTGGGTAGGGTTCAGGGCTTCAGGGATTCAAGTTGACGAGCCTAGAGGGCTTAGGTTTTACGGCTTCCGGGTCATGGAGTTGAAGACTTCACTGGGGTAGGCTTGGGGGCCCCAAAAAAACATCAAACCTTCATCGCTTTATCAGGATTACCTTGGGGGGGATTAGGGGAAAATAAAGATTGTGTTCAAACCTACCTCTGTTTGGGGTTCTAGAGTTTAACGGTTTCAGGATGAAGGGCTTGAGAATTTCGGGTTTAGGGTTTGTGGGTTTAGGTTGTCAGTGTTTGCAGATTACGAAGAAAGTTGTTTTTTCAGGGTTGTGAAGGGGGTTGGGGCTTTGGGAGTTGTGGAGTGAAACCCGAAACCCGAAACCCTAAACCCTAAACCCTAAATCCTGAACCCTAAACCCTAAACCCTAAACCCTAAACCCTAAACCCTAAACCCTAAACCCTAAACCCCAACTCTAAAACCCTTAACCCCACAAGCCACTTGCGCGTCCTCGACCTGCGTCAGCTGGACCTGAACTGCGCGACTGTCCTGAGCTGCGAGGTTTAGGGGTGGGTTTTGGGTTTAGGGCTGATCGAGCGTGGGGGTTTAGTTGAGGGTGTAAGGTTTGCCCTAAACCCTAAACCCTAAACCCTAAACCCTAAACCCTAAACCCTAAACCCTAAACCCTAAACCCTAAACCCTAAACCCTAAACCCTAAACCCTAAACCCTAAACCCTAATGAGACAAAATAGGGTTTCCAGGACTTCCAGTGCAGGGTCTAGAGGGCTTGATCGGCCTTTGGGTTCAGGACAAACGTGAGGCACTGGCCAGGGGTGGGGGTTTAGGGTCTAGGGTCTAGGGTCTAGGGTTTAGGGTTTAGGGTTTAGGGTTTAGGGGTTTAGGGGTTTAGGGGTTTAGGGTTTAGGGTTTAGGGGTTTCGGGTTTAGGGTTTGGGCCCTCCTGTGATGACTCCTGTGATGGGTCCCCTGTGATAGTACCCTAAACCCTACATCCGTCCTTGTGAGAATAAGACTCCTTAATTGAACAGGGATTTTGCCATAAAGGGGCCTTCATCTCCCTAAACCCTAAACCCTAAACCTTAAACCCTAAACCCTACTTCATCTTCTAGGCTAACCAACACCGAAGTCTTTTCGTTTAATGGGATTCTGAGGGCTCCTGGCGCAAGAGAAAGGAGTATAAGGGTGATGTTGCGGACGTCCTAGTAGTAGGACTCCAAAAAGGGACCCAACTTATGTTCAACCCTATAGAGAGAGAGAGTGAGAGAGATACAGAGAGAGAGAGAGAGATAGAGAGAGAGAGAAAGAGAGAGAGGCAGAGAGAGAGGGAGAGAGAGGGGGAGAGAGAGAGAGGGGTCAATTTAATCAGAATGGGTATTTTCAGGGTAGATAATATTACAGCCCCTAAAGGGATAACGGCCTCGGATCCCCATGCAGATTATAGAGGGGCATTGCTTTACTTTCACGCCCACCCTAAACCCTAAACCCTAAACCCTAAACCCAGAGTGCACTTGAAGGTTACAAGTACCCATGAACCTTCAAGTATCCCTTAGCACGCATCAAAGTTGCAAAAGCAAACTTTGAACTGTTACCCCAGACCCGACATCCCGAAACACTAAATGCCAGCCTAAGCCCCAAAGCCCAAGACCCCTTAGGTGTTTAGGGTTGAGAGTTCAGGGCTATTAAGCCCCGAACCCTAAAACCCTAAACCCAAAAACCCAAAAACCCAAAAACCCAAAAACCCTAAAACCCTAAAACCCTAAAACCCTAAAACCCTAAAACCCTAAAACCCTAAAACCCTAAACCCCAAACCCAGAAACATCCTTCAACCCTATCACATCCTTCAACCCGAAACCCGAAACCCTAAACCCTAAACCCTAAACCCTAAACCCTAAACCCTAAACCCAGACGAAGCACGCCCCCGCTCTGCACGCAGCCCCAAGACACCACGCGGCCATCGCGGCGGCGTGCGGCGAAGGCGGCTCCGGAAGGCGTCACGTCCTGCACCTCGCGAGGGGTTGCCCAAAGCTTGAGGTGAAACCCTAAACCCTAAACCCTAAACCCGAAACCCTGGAGTTATCCTAAACCCTAAACCCTAAACGCAGGGGTTAGGATCTTAGTGCTGGGGCTTCGGGAAGCTCAGGAACAGCCAGCCGATATACCCAAATTCTGACGCCAGTGAGTGCTGCTACTCGAGCAGTAGTTCTGGCGGTTTTCGTCCAGGACCTAGAAGCGATAAACGCCCAGTATTTTAACAGGGCTCGAAACCCTAAACCCTAAACCTTAAACCCTAAACCCTAAACCCTGAACCCTAACCTTAAACCCTAAACCCTAAACCCCTAAAACCTGAAACCTTGCACTGACCGTGAAGCCTGGTGCAGGAGCTCGTTCCTTGGTTAGGGTTGCGGCTTCAGGGTGGCATGGTTTAGGGTTTAGGGTGCAGGGTTTTGCGTTCAAGGCCCCACTGTTTGCTCAAATAGGTCTTGAGAGTCTGATACACCAAAGTTGTGCACAACTAAGTACTATAAACAAGTACTAAGAACATGGAACCCCGCTGGACCCTAGACCCTAAACACTAAACCGCTACACACCTATAACCCTAAACCCTAAGCCCCTGTAAGCCCTATAAACCCTAATCCCAAACCCCTAAACCGAGAACAGAAAGTTTCCCTGGGGAGCTTCCTAAACCCTAAACCCTAAGCCCTAAACCCTAAACCCTAAATCCCAAACCCTAAACCCTACACCCTGAACCGTAAACCAAAAAAGGGTACTCCTGGGGGGCGTCCCAGGTTCGCTCCACTGCTGTCCCCGCCGAAGGCCGGATCACCCCAGGTGACCACCGTCCCATCCTTGCGGAGTGCCGCGAAGGCTGCAGCAGTCGTACTTACATCGCTCACCTGGGTTTAGGGTTTAGGGTTTAGGGTTTAGGGTTTTTTAGGGTTTAGGGTTTAGGGTTTAGGGTTTAGGGTTTAGGGCTTAGGGTTTAGGGTTTAGGCGTGACGGTGACTTGTAGATTAGCCCTGTAATCCAAGCCTCTGCGAAAGCATACTATTCATCCTACACAAGATCCCCTTAAGCCCCAAAGGGGACATGCGAAATCTTCCAACGGCCGGCCGAGTCACATCTGTCAGCTGATCCTCTACCGAGGTGCAGTCGCCGCCGTATTCTGGCTCACCCCAAGTCACCACTGTTCCATCCTCCCGGATTGCCGCGAACGCATGCGGCGTGGCGCGTATCTTGCGCACCTGCAAGAGTCGCTCCTGGACCGCACTGCTGTCCCCACTGAACTTCGCCTCACCCCAGGTCACCACCGTCCCATCTTCCCGTCTGGCTGCGAAGGCACCAGCTGAGGCGGTGATGTCCGTAACCTCAGGTGCTGAGTTCACAGGCCCGAAAAAGTGTACACTTTCAGTTCTATAGAGGATTATATTGCATAACCCTAAACCCTAAACCCTAAACACGAAACCCTAAACCCTAATCCCACACAACCACTCATTCAAGCAACCTGCGTCAGCCTATGTTGGACATCAGCGCTGTCGCCACCATGCCTCTTGTCGCCCCAGGTCACCACTGTCCCATCCTCCCGAAGAGCAGCGAAAGAACGCGCCGCAGCTCTTACCTGGGTTTAGGGTATAGGGGGTTTGGGGTTTAGGGTTTAGGGTTCCCAAGCTCCCTTCTGTTCGACGGCTTCATAAAGTAAACCTTAACAACGAAATGGCTCCATGCTTCCGGTTGGGTTCTTATAGGGGCCCCTTCCGGCAACCTGAAAGTAAGCGTTCGGAGTCTTTAGCCCTAAACCCTAAACCCTAAACCCTAAACCCTAAACCCTAAACCCTAAACCCTAAACCCTAAACCCTAAACCCTAAACCCTAAACCCTAAACCCTAAACCCTAAACCCTAAACCCTAAACCCTAAACATAAACGAAAAGGGCACCACTGAGGGACCTAGTCGCCTCCCGAACTTGGATAAGGCGGCTCTCCACCCTGGAGATGTCCCCACCACGAAACCTCGGGGACCATGAATCGAATAGGGGTCGAGGGTTTAGGGTTTTAGGGTTTAGGGTTTAGGGTTTAGCGATTCTAGTAGTCTAGGGCATATATGACCCCCAAAATTTTAAGGCTCGTCTGGCTTCCCAAGAAACGGATCTCCCCAAGCCACCACCGCGCCCTCCTCGGAAATGGCCGCGAAGGCACCCCGAGACGCCCGGATCGCCCGGATGTTCTTCAACTGAGCCTGGTTTAGGGTTTAGGGTTTAGGGTTTAGGGTTTAGGGTTTAGGGTTCAGAATCGCCCGGATGTTCTTCAACCGAGCCTTGCATGGGGTGCAATCGCCCCCAATCCTTGGCTGCCCTTAAATGGCTTAGGGTTTAGGGTTTAACTACTAACAAGTTACCATAACATGAACACCTACTTCTAAACCGTAAGCTCCATACGATGGTAAGTTATACCTTAGCTTTTAAGAACTTACTTGCTAGCCCAGTAGCCACCTTATAGTTAGGATAACCTGTGGGGGGTTGGTTACTTCATACTGGACTTAAACCCTAAACCGAACCCTCCACCCTAAACCCTAACCCTGAACCATGAACCCCAAAATCCTAGACCCCAGACCCCAACAAAAAAAAGGAGCAAAAGGAAAAGGCCTGGCTACCAAGAATCTCGGGGTTGCCCCAAGTTACCACGCCCCCATCGCGCCGGAGTGCGGCAAAAGCACCGTAGGTGGCAACAACGTCCCGCACATCATACAGCTGATCTCTCACCTTGGCAAACCCAAAAGCCTTAGGGTTTAGGGTTGAGGGTTTAGGGTTTAGGGAACCCAAAGCCCTGAAAAACCCTCTATCGGGCACCCGAACAAGCAAGTGGAATGAGCGCAGCTTCCCTCAAGATTCCACGGCCCCGTTCTGCTTTGCAACAAGGCCTCAAAAAGAGCCTTTCGAAGACATGGTTCTAGGGTTTAGGTGTTGGGGTTCCAGGGTTTAGGTCTGATTAGGGTTTGGGGATATAGACCCTAAACCCTAAACCCTAAAGCCTGAACCCTAAACCCTGAACCCTAAACCCTAAACCGCCTTAACCCTAAGGTCTGGGTCTTAGAGCAGCCAAGGAACAAAGAGAGCACCCTCTTTGCTCAACAGCGACTCTAGGGGTAGCTACATGGTCCCTTAGTATGGGCTGTTCAAAGGTATACTATACCCGAAAAAAGGTGTTACATCAGAACCTTTAGGTGTACCTCTTAAACCCAAAGCAAGAACATGCACCAAAGGGGCCCAAACCCTAAAAGATCAACTCTCAACCCTCAACCCTCTTGGAAGCTTTCGAGACAAATCATCAAGCCAAAAAGAGGCTAAAGACCTAAGGTTGCAGTAAAGAACCCACAGGGCCTTAAGCCTTAAACCCCAAAAAAGCGGTTTGGGTTTTAGGGTTCAGGGTTTAGGGCTTAGGGTTTAGGGTCTTCTCAACTTTCAACCATGATAACGAGGCTGGCAACCCACGTGCAGTCGCCACCGTAGCCAGGGTCGCCCCAGGAAGCTGCTGCGCCATCGGGTCGAAACACGACGAACCTCTGTCAACACGTAGGGGGCTAAGGATTTAGGGTTGAGGGTTCAGGGTTAAGAGAAGGTTCGTGGGCCGATATAAGTAGGGTTACAAAGTACCGCAATTGAGGAATTAAGGTTAGTTTCATTTGTTAATGTCCCGGCTGCCTTAGCTAAAACCCCACTGAAGAATACCCACAAAACTTCTCAAGTAGGCTTTAGGGTGATTAGGCTCACTAGGGTCCCCTTCCTGGTCCTGGTTGTAACTGATAGGGGACTTGGGGGGCTTATCAGTGCAGTTATAATCGGGGTTATAAGTACCCTTAACCTCCAAGCACTGCTCGGTTTTTCTGAAGCCCTAAGCCATAGAACGACACAAAAGGGAATGAGGGCCCACACAGGGTCCGAGTAATTGAAGCCCAGTCGCGCATCACACAGGTTGTTGAAGGCCAAGTTCCAGGCACTGCCTGCATGGGGTTTAGGGTTTAGGGGTTTAGGGGTTTAGGGGTTTAGGGGTTTAGGGGTTTAGGGTCGAGGGTTTAGGGTCTAGAGTTTAGGGTTCGGGGTTTAAGGTTTAGGATTTGGGGCTGAAGGCTTCCGGTTCAGGGACCTCTGTGGTACGGTTTGATCAGGGCTTAGGGTGACCTAATAACAAAAACGGGTGCCCCTTCTGGCTTGAAAAAATGCCAGCCTTAACGATTTGTAAGGGGTTTAGGGTTTAGGGTTTAGGGTTAGGGTTTAGGGCACACCCCCAACTTACAACCTCCGGGTCCCCGGGCCTGCACGCACAAAGGAGTGGAAGGAGGACACCAGGAGCGTGGTCCGGGCGGTGGCGGTAACCTATGGTTTAGGACATAGGGTTTAGGGTTTAGGGTTTAGGGTGTAGGGTTTATAGGGTTTATGGGTTTAGGGTTTATAGGTTTAGGGTTTAGGGTCTGAGGCCTTAGGGCTGTTTACGTTTCGGGCTTAGAACCACCAAAAAAAAAAAACTTGCTTGAGGGCTGTTTTGGGCATTTGGTAGCTGGCCAAGAAAAGGTCGGAAAATGTGGGGAAGAAAGCTTTCAGGGGCAGTTCCAGATTCCCCCACAGGACTTGGGGTTAGAGGCCCTAAAGACGCGAAACCCCAATAAACCTTAACTACCCTAAACCCTGAACCCTGAACCCTGAACCCTGAACCCTAAACCCTAAACCCTAAACCCTAAACCCTAAACCCTAAACCCTAAACCCTAAACCCTAAACCACACCCCTAAAGCCCAAAGCCCAAACTCATTGAGCTGCTTCCCCAGTAACCTGCCAGCCATGGTGGATGCCCAAGGTGGAGAGGGTGGCAAGTCCTCAGAGCCTAAACCCTAAACCCTAAACCCTAAACCCTAAGCCCTAAGCCCTAAGCCCTAAGCCCTAAGCCCTAAGCCCTAAACCCTAAACCCTAAACAAGCCCTAAACCCAAAACCCAAAACCCCAGGCTTCGGGCTTGGACTCTACAAACAATTCCTGGCTTTGGAGGCCGGGTGAGGGAAGCTGCCCGAAATCATCCCTAAACACATATAAAAACCCTATAAAACCCTAAAAACCCTGTAATCCCAATAAACCCTATAAAACCCTGTAAACCTATATAAACACCCCCCCCCCCCCCCCCCCAAACCCTAAATACTGAACCCTTTTGAGCGACGGACTTTGGAGGCTGCCGGCAAACATGCAACTTCTTAGAAGTCACATCACGCTGATCCCTAAAACCTAGACGTCCTAGACTAAACAACCCGTTTTGGGGCAGCACCAAATCAAACCCTCGGTATTGTAAGCAGCCAAGCTTGGCCTTGAAGCCCTCGGCTAGTTTCTCCAGAAATAACCTTAAACGCGTGTAAGAGAAGATTTCAAATCTCGCGTTGGATGTCAAAAGTGCAGGCGGAGGGGAGGAAACCCTGCTAACCTTTACTTACAAGTTCTTACTCGGAAGTAATGGAACTAGGTCCCCAAAATGCCTTCTAAACCCCAAAACCCTAAACCCTAAACCCTTAGAGGATTTGCGTTGGGTGCCTACTTACCAAAAGCACCGAATAACAACAAGTAGGTGACCAAACAAAAGCTGGGACGAAGCCTACTCTCTGACAAGGTTCAGGGTTTAGGGTTTAGGGTTGAGGGTTCAGGGTTTAGCCCGGCTCCTGGCAGACGCCTGCCCTGATCTGCAACAAGGTCGGCAATGAGGATACCAAGCTCCTGATTCGCAGAATGCTTTCCTACATGCGGGGGGGCTAGCGATGTAACAAAAAGGTGGAGCCCTAACATAGACCCCCAAAAAGAGTAGGACCCCCCTTGCAGTTAGGACACCAAAAAGGTACCCAGAAAATTCAGGAAAAAACACAAATACTTGTGTGTCAAACAAGGGGGTCAGGGTTTCGGGTGTTGATGGTGTTTAGGGTTTAGGGTCAAAGCCTAAATCCTAAACCCTAAGCCCTGTGAGATTACTACAAAGTTGCGTGTGCTTCGGGTGTTCAGGGCTTAGGGTTTTAATCTGAAACAGGCTCCTAAAACAATCTCCTTAAACCCAATAAGATGGAACATGATCTAGGCCCTTGGATTTCATGAGGTATACAAGGGGTACATATATTTCAGGTGTATAAGGAGGGACCCCTAGAAGGGACCCTTAATCTTATCTCCCCTGTACATACCTTTTATAGTCCCTATATACCTAAGTAGCCCCTAAAGAAGCCCTAAACAACCCCAAGGGTTCCCTTGTAAGGGTCCCTCTTTCGTCCCTTGATAAATTTGGCCTGCCAAATTAAGGGTCCATACTAGGGGGCCCTGTGAAGGCATGTCTACTTCGGTCTTAGGTGCTATCGTTCAAGCGATTCTTCGGTTTAAGGGAATGATCTCCTCCTCTGCAGCGTGCCGCAAGTCGTTCACAGTGCCTCAGCGCGGCACAGGACTTTCACCATAAACCCTAAACCCTAAACCCTAAACCCTGACCCCTGAACCCTAAACCCCTAAACCCTAAACCCGAAACCCTAAACCCTAAACCCTAAACCGGCTTTTGGGATGAGGGCTTAGGGCCCGAAACCCTAAACCTCCCAAGCCAGCGCTTTCGGATTTACATATTTCAAGGGTGCATCCAATGAGGCAGCAAGAAGCGATTAGGGTTAGGGCTTAGGGCTTGGGGCTTGGGGCTCAGGGTTTAGGGCTTAAAGGGGGGGGGGGGGGGTAGGGGGGGCTCTTTTGGAAAACCCTACCCCCTCCCCTTAAATTTTAAGACACAGAGGCGTGTGGTTCGGCGGGGAGTTGGAAGGCAGGGCATATGAAGGTCGAAAACACCAAATGCTCTCAACTCGCTTGCGGCTATCGGGTGTAGGGCAAAACCCTCATAAACCGTCATAAACCCTAAAACTAATCCCTAAACCCTAAACCCTAAACCCTAAACCCTAAACCCTAAAACCCTAAACCCCTAAACCCCTAAACCCCTGAACCCTAACCAAATTGCCAGGGCGCAATCTGGCGGAACTTGGACAGTGGCAGTCCGGCCGCTGAGCAGCGTCACATCCACGGAGATAGCCATGGGCTGCTCCGAAGGGTTTGGGGTTTAGGGTTTAGGGTTCAGGGTTTAGGGACTAGGGTTTAGGGATGTAGGGCTTAGGGTTGAGGGCTTCGTGTTGAAGTTCTAAAGATTCCGAGTCAAGGTTGAGGGTTAGGATTTAGGGTTTAGGGTTTAGGGGATCACGGCTAGGATTTGGGATCCGGGTTCCCAAGTAGCCTAGCAAAGTGGAACCTTTCTTGGCGAACCTAAACGCTAAACCCTGAAGCCTAAACCCTAAACCCTAAACCCTAAACCCTAAACCCTAAACCCTAAACCCTAAACCCTAAACCCTAAACCCTAAACCCTAAACCCTAAACTCACCTAAAACCCTAAACCCTGGCAAAGTACCGCTGGGCATGCTGGGAGAGGGCTCCGGACCTGCGACATTGACTACGTAGACCCAGGAGTAACCTACGTAGGAATGAGAAGGGTCTAGGGTTTAGGGTTTAGGGTTTAGGGTTTAGGGTTTAGGGTTTAGGGTTTAGGGTTTAGGGTTTAGGGTTTAGGGTTTAGGGTTTAGGGTTAGGGTTTAGGGCTACTAGACCCAGGAGTAGGCTAGGAATAAGAAGGGTGGTGTTTCGGGTTTAAAGGGGCTCATAAGGGAACTTAAGCCCTAGAAAAGAAGGGAATAAGGGCCTACTCCGGGTCCTAGCTGTAGTCAGTTTATGGCTGCAAACATCCCGTTTTAGGGTTTAGGCTTTCAGGTTTTTAACGTACTGTCATGTCTCTTAGTACTTTTCCTTGAAAAAAAACAAGACACGAACCGGAAAGTCCCAAACCCTAAGCCCTAAACCCTAAAGCCCTAAACCCTAAGCCCTAGAGGCCTAAAGGCGCCTAAAGGCGCCTAAAGGCGCCTAAAGGCGCCTAAAGGCCCAAAGGCCTAAAGGCCTAAAGATCTAAAGCCCCAAACCCTAAACTCTCAACCCTAGTGCATTGCTTGGCCCTCGCAGCTCAACGTCAAGCATCCCTTTGCTTAAGGGAGTCGGGTTTAGGGTCTAGGGTTTAGGGTTTAGGGGGGGAGTAAACGAGGAGGAATCCAGGAATTTCAACTGAAGGTGTATCCGCTGTCCTGCTCAAAGGTCCCTAGGTACAGCGCCTTGTCAGCCATTCTTTGATTTCATCTTTCTCCGGATTCCATAATCGAAACACAAACGGAATGTCACTTCCCAGTCAAACCGCAACAAAGAGATCGTTTGCCCGAAATGGTTGAACTTGGGAAGGTGTACCCCGCAAGCCGTCCGACCCCCCCCCCCTTCACCCACTCAACCCTCAACCCTCAACCCTAAGCCCTGCACCCTTTGTGATGGGTTTAGGGCTGAGGGTTGTAGGTTCCAAAACCCTGAAACCCCAAACCCCAAACCCAAAACCCTAACCCCAAAACCCCAAACCCCAAACCCTAAACCCTAAACCCCAAACCCCATCAAAACGACAGAGCTATGACAAGCACCGGCCGCCTTCGGCCACGATCCTCCGTAGCTGTTGCAGCTGGCTCGCCCCTGAGGGTTTGGGGTATAGGGTTTAGGGTTTGGGGTTTAGGGTTTGGGGCTTAGGGTTTAGGGTTTAGGGTTTAGGGTTCTAGGTTTAGGGCCCCTTGCAGTTTTTTGCTTTCAGGGAAGCGGGGTGAGGTTTAGGGTTTAGGGTTGAGGGTTTAGGGGTAGGGTTTAGGGCTTGAAGTTTAGGCTTTCTGGTTTTGGGGTTCAGGGTCTGCTTGGGAGGCCACGGCTTCGCAGGTAGGGCTTCAAGGACTTAAGGTTGTAGCGAATCTGCGTTGGCCCTAAACTCTAAGCCCTACACCCTAAACCCAAAATTTTAAGCTGACTCGTAATCGCGGAGCCCTGGGCACAAGAACTTAAAACTCCCAAGCGCAAAGACCTGAGGGCACTCGAAACACCCAAGTGTCCTCATCTCACGATAAGCAGGAGGGGCGCCATCGACACGACGAGCTCGGGGGAATGAGGCCCCCGAACCCTAAGCCCTGAGCCCTAAACCCTAAGCCCTAAACCCTAAGCCCTAAACCCAAAACCTTAAACCTTAAACCCTAAACCCTAAACCCCATCAGCGCGGCATCAAGGCTCTCATCCGCTAGTATCCGTCAATCCGAACCCCCAAATCTCACACGGCCGTCAACCCTCCCCATCCCTGGAACCCTAAACCCTAAACACCTCCGAACCCCTAGACCCTAATAGCCCTAAACCCTTAACCCTTAACCTTTAGCGGGTTGTGAGGAGCACCCGGGCCAGCCTCAAGCGGCGACGCCGGGCCTCCTGTGTCCGATCCGCGGCGAACAGCAAGGCTCTACAAAGCAATGGCCGCATCGCGCAACCACCCTTATTGGCGTTTGCCGGGAGGCCCCGGTGGACATCTAGCTGACATTCGACATGGGTGGAGCCACAAATGGCCCCTAACTCACGGTACTGCCACGTGTTCGGCAGCAACAAACATTGGGCCGCGTTGGGCGAAAACCAGAAAATACACCTGTCACACCGCTCAAAATCGGCATGCCCGTTCACTACAGTGCTAAGCCGCATCGCGCAGCCTCGCTCATCGGACCAGGCAGGACGAAGCTGGACAGTGTAGCCATTGGCATCAAGACCTCATGTTGTTTTCGGAAATCTGGCCGACAAATTCTCGATTGGGTATGTTGTGTGCGCTGTAAAGGCCGTCGTGGCTGCAGACATGCGCAGGTTGCTTCCGGCAAATGTCACGCGTCATAGTCCCGGCCCTGCAGGTCCTGACAGTTGCCCCTTCGGGAAGTGCAAGTAGCTGACCGAGAGCAAAATGCCGCCATGAAAGCCGCGCCGTCGCCGCGTCACCAACAACCGAGGGAACATGCTTGCCTCCAAGGCTGGAGCAATTGCTGTTTTGAAAGCCGTAGCAGTTGACATCTGGAGAAGAGCAGAGCGCCGACCCACTGCAAGGACATGGTCTTGAATCAGCTGCCAGGTTGGGGCCCGCAAGTGCGTAAGCCACAGCAAAATCATGGTTCGGAAACTGTAGGTGCAGCTGTGGCAGCATAGGGCTGGCCCGCATCAAAACCACTCCACACACCGCGAATAGCCAGTATAGCCGTCCTCGTACTCGAAGTCGTAGCAACTGCCACGTCGCGGAACGCAGAAAGCCTTGAAACTGTAGCACCAACCACCCCAAAGGCCGCAGCTGAACCAAGCATGCGGTAGATTCTGAATGGCATAAGCAGGACCGTAACGAGTAAAGAGAAATCAGCGGCAGTCGAATCATGGCCCGATTTGCAAAGGAGGTGGTTCTACCTCCCCCAACGACCTCGCCACGTGTAGGCTCGGGCCGAGAGGCTTCTTAACCCTTAACCCTAAACCCTAACCCTAAACCCTAAACCCTAAACCCTAAACTCTAAACCCTAAACCCTAAACCCTAAACCCAAAAACTCAAAACCCTAAACCCTAAACCCCTAAACCCCTAAACCCCTAAACCCCTAAACCACTAAACCCTACACATCCCACAGCCCAAAAGCCACGACAAACGTAGCTGAGGTCGCGGCTGCGCTCTGCAGCCTGCCGAGAATACTAAAGAAGATTATAAGGGGCCTAAGAAGAGGCATTTTGGGGGTAGGGTGTAGGGTTTAGGGTTTAGGTCTAGTAGGAGGATACTAAAGCAGATCAGAGGCCTATTTGACTAAGAAGAGGCATTTTGGGTTTAGGGTTAGGGTTTAGGATTTAGTTTAGGGTTAAGGAATTAATAAGTTTAGGGTTTAGGGTCAGCTACAGCATCTCACCTCAGAGGCATCGTGCTGGGCATCAGCAAAGAGCCGAGCTGACTTGTCCGCAAACATTTCTTCTTTGGATGCGCTGCCTGCTGATATCATCCGACCTTCCGGCCGACCTGCTGTCCGGGTTCACTTGCTTTTTGGGGCGCAAAGGCTTGACCATAAGCAGCACATGTTAGGGAGTTGGAGAGCGCACGCCTCCTCGAGCTGGATGTGGGCCATCTCCCAAGATGGCTGTCGGCTCAGGCCAAACCGGACTCGGGCTTTGGGTTTAGGGTTTAGGGTTTAGGGGTTAGGGGTGAGGGGTTAGGGTTTCGGGAACTCTAGAGCCCTAAACCCTGCTTGGAGATTCGGGGTTTATGGCTTGGGGTTTGGGGTCTACAGTTTTCGGGCATAGGGTCTACTTTAGTTTCCCGGACCTCTGAATCAGGCAATAGGGTCTAGGGTCGAGTGCCCTATAGAGACCTTAACCCTAACCCTAAACCCTGAAACCCTAAACCCTTAACCCTTAACCCTAAATGCCTCTCGAAGCTGCAGCTGAGTGACATATTCGAAGGTTTCGGAGTTGGGGCTAGGGTTTAGGGTTTAGGGTTTAGGGTTTAGGGTTTAGGGTTTAGGGTTTAGGGTTTAGGGTTTAGGGTTTAGGGTTTAGGGTTTAGGGTTTATGGGGTTTAGGGTTTAGGGTTTAGGGTTTAGGGTTTAGGGTTTAGGGTTTAGGGTTTAGGGTTTAGGGTTTAGGGTTTAGGGTTTAGGGTTTAGGGTTTAGAAACGTCCCCACCCCTTTAGATCCCTAAACCCTAAACCCTAAGCCCCCGCCCCTGCAACACAAACAAAAACATATGGCAGGCAATCCTCAGCATCGGAACCCGGCACCGGATTTTGGGGCTAAACCGTAAACCTCAAAATCCTGAACCCAGCAAGGCGACAGCAATGTGTAGCTCTCTGTAGAAACAGGGAGACTGTAAGTAAGGAAGATTCCCTGAAATCCTAAAGCCTAAACCCAAAACTCCGCGGCCTTCAACCCTGTAAGCCCAGAAACCGTATAAACCCATGACCGCTAACACCCTCAGACCAACAAGCCCTCAACACCATAAACCCACTACTGATTCTTAGTGGGGAATGAGGGAATCATGCACCTTCTACCCTCCTCTACATACCTTTGAGGGAGGATATAGGGTACCTCATTCTACGGTCTAGGGTTTGGGGGTCTACAGGGCTTAGGCTCTTTAGGGATTGCTGCCTCCCTCTTGGCATCGAGCGCCTGGCGAAGCGTGGGGGCAGGTGCTTCTTTCAGAGGGGGAAGGGCGGCGGTGCGGGGGTAGCTTTAGGGTTCATGGTTTAGAGTTTTTGGGTTTGGGCAAGGGTTAAGGGTTTGGGGTGTAGGGTTTGGGGTTTTTGGGCTCCCCGTGTGTAAGTAGGATTCCCAGCTACTAGGGAAGCAAGGGTCTCTTGCCTTCATGCTCGGAGGTGATTTAAGGTTTACGGGTAGGGTTTGGGGTTTAGACAAGCTTCCGAGAGCCCTGGCCCCCCCGATTTGGGCTTAGGGTTTAGGGTTACTTAAGGGCTTTAGGGTTTGGCTAACCTTCTGACTATGGAAGGGGTCCCCATGTAGACCCCGAAAGACTGCAACGCCAAAACCCCAAATCGGGGCAGGGAAGGCGTTGAGACTTTCGGATTCAAGAGTCTTATTAGGTTGGGGTTTAGGGTTTAGGGTTTAGGGTTTAGGGTTTAGGGTTTAGGGTTTAGGGTTTAGGGTTTAGGGTGTAGGGTGTAGGGTTTAGGGTTTAGGGTTTAGGGTTTAGGGTTTAGGGTTTAGGGTTTATTCCGGGTAAGGACGATAATAAACCATCCCAAGGGCCCACCCCAGACTCTAGCCTAAAACGCCCTAAACCCCGAACCATGAAACCCGAAAACGCTAAAACCCTAAAACCCTAAGACCCTAAGACCCAAACCCTAAACCCTAAACCCTAAGCCCTAAACCCTAAACCCTAAACCCTAAACTCTAAACTCTAAACCCTAAACCCCAACCCTCCCCCACACCCACCCACCCCAGACGCCTCAAGTCGCTGCCCCAAGCTTCGGACGACATCCGGGCCCTGATTCAGGGGTTTGGTGGGTTGAGAGTATAGGGTTTAGGGTTTGGGGTTTGGGTTTTAGGGTTTTTAGGGTTTAGGGTTTGGGGTTTAGGGTTTAGGGCTTGGGGTTTAGGGTTTGGGGTTTGGAACCAAGAGTTAGGGTTCCCAAACTCTAAACCGCAGACCCTACGGGGCTCAAGGGGTCTTTAGGTTGAGGGTCAAGTTAAGGATCTTAAACTCAAGAGCGAGCATCACGTGACTGGACCCCCCCCCCCTCCCCCACCCAATCCCCCAAGATCAACCAACACCTAAACCCTGAACTCTGAGACCCTAGACCCTAGACCCTAAACCCTAAACCCTAAACCCTAAACCCTAAATCCCAGTCCGGGGGTTGAGGCATTGGGTGTTCTCGATCAACCTTGCCTTGGAGCCGCTTTGTGCTACTTTGTGCAGTGCCTTGCATGGCCATCAGCTTCGATTGCCGAGGTTTGTCCGGGCCAGCTTTCAGCAGCCAGAAACCCTAAACCCAAAACCCGAAACCCTAAACCCTAGCCCTAAACCCTAAACCCTAAACCCTAAACTAGAAACTCCACACCCCAGATAAGGATCATGCTGTGGCATGCGCGGCAGCTGGCCACTTAGCTCCATGCTTGAAGGTGCATAGTACCTATTAACCAGTCATAACTGTACTTCTAACCCACGTATAAGCTTCTTAAGTGCCCTAATATGGTAAAAATTGGGTTATACGTACAATTAGTATTGATTTAATAAGTACCCTGAACCTCCAAGTACCCTGAGAAGCCCATGCACCCTTCGGAAGTCGAAATTGCCTGAGTTGTCTTGGTGGTCCTCAGGTAAGTCTCCACGAATCCAGAAAAAGCGGTTTCACGAGCTTTTTCCCCATAATCCCAAACCCATGTTCCCCCTTATACCACTAGTCCTTCATAGAGATTATTGTAGGGGGTACTACAATCCCTGTTAAGGACTGTTAGTACAAGGGGGAGCATCCCAAACGTAAACCATATAGACCATAAAAGCCCTAGAAGCCCTAAACCCTACAAGGCCTGCAAGCTCGGCCTGTAAGTCGTGCAAAAGCTATGATGTGCCCTATCAGCCTCATCCTTAAAAACCCTCCAAGCACTTTGTGCCCTAGAAAGCCTCGACACCTCTATTTGGTTAAGGCAGTTTAGGGCTTAGAGGGCTAAACCGTAAGCCCTAAACCCTAAACCCTAAGCCCTAAGCCCTAAACCCTAAACCCTAAACCCTAAACCCTAAACCCTAAAGTTCAAACGGGCACAGCTGCGGCCTCAGGACCATCGGTCCTAGAACGGCCGCAGCGGTCGCAAAAGCGAGCATCGCTGCTCAAGGCCTTTAGTAGGGTTTAGGGTTTAGGGTTTAGGGTTTAGGGTTTAGGGTTCAGGGTTTCGGGTTTAGGGCTTAGAGTTTGGGGTTTAGGGTGAAGGATCCAGAGTTAAGGAAGGGTTCAGCATCTTAAATCGACGCATTCGCGAGTGCCCTCGAGTATAGTGTTTGGGGATTAGGGGTTTAGGGATCAGGGTCTGGCTGGTCACTTTTCTAGATGTTCCTCCCCCTTCGGGGTTACGATTGTAAGGCAGCCCCTAATATTTCGGGTACCCAAAAAGGGACCATGACTTTGAGAGCTGACTATATATATATATATATATATTTATTTATGCATATGTGTGCGTGTGTACAAAAACGGTGTAGGGGGTGGGTCTTGCTAAGCCTTGCGGCTCAGGGGTTCGATTTGTGATGAGCACCGGGAAGCACTTGCTGGAAGTGTCTATACTGTCGATTGCGAGTTTAGGGAACTAACCCTAAACCCGACCTAAACCCCAAACCCTAAACCCTAAACCCCTATACCCTAAACCCCAAACCCCAAACCCTAAACCCTAAAACAGCCCTTTGAGCCCTACTCCCAACCTCTACACCCGCCCCTAACGCCCAAAGCCCTGGCTGAGGGCAGCGCCGTGCCACAGGCTTGGCACTTGACCTGCGCCCACAGTGTGATCTTTGCGAATATCTCAGGTTTGCCCTTCCAATCAAAAAAGGAAAGTTACGTGTTGAAAGTACACTGGGTCGTCTTCAAGTCTTCAAAGCATTCACCCGTGGCGACGACATCGCCCACGATGCGTAGACTTCTCGC